GTACGTAAACATTTATGTTTCACTTTTATGGTTAGGCTCACATACACATCTATTATATACGTTGTATAGTTAATATAACTTGATGATATTTTTTATTCTTTTTGCGATAGATAAATAAAAAAGAATTTGTTGTTTAAATTTGGTTAGTGATATAAGTTATATGATTTGTATTTATAATATAAACGTAAAAATATTGGTCGATAGAAATGATGTATTAATGAATTTTTCTGTTTGACTAACTTGTTTTATTCATATTTTAAATAAACATAGATTGAAACCAAATATGTATTCATGATTAAAGAAAAATCTTTATTAAATTTTCTAACAAAAACTCAAATCATTAGCAAGAAGAACACATAAAAACACTAAATTTAAAATCATTTAGTCAAAACTAAAAATATAGACGGGCCAATGGGCCAGTCCGTGTCCAAATGGGCCAACCCTTTACGGACCAAAAAAAATTCAACCCATACGGATTGGCCCGTCACGGGTTGCAGGTTCTAAATGTGTGTCCAAGCCCGCCCGTTGCGGTCTTACTTGGGCCTAGCCCGCCGGCTGCAGCCCATGTTGACATCAGTTTGGTTTTACTACCTCGACATTAACAGTGTCAATCCGACTAACTGAAGTTACTGGTTGCTACAGTACTTTCTTCTTCCCCAAATCGATTTTGGGATTTAAGAACCCTAAAACCCCAAATTGATTTTGGATTTAAGTTGTATATGCTTCATGCGACCATAAACACATATTTCTCTCACATTCCCAGACTATGGTGTTGATTTTGATTTGAGGAGATTAATCGGTTTTGAATATGGAAGGAGATTCGTCTCTGTCTCCGTTGATAAGATCGATTAACAGAAGCGTGGTTCACAGAATCTGCTCCGGACAAGTCATCTTGGACCTCTCCTCGGTTATCAAGGAGCTTGTGGAGAACAGTCTCGACGCCGGAGCCACCAGTATAGAAATAAACCTTCGTGACTATGGCGAAGAACACTTTCAGGTTATCGACAATGGCTGTGGCATTTCCCCGACCAATTTCAAGGTCTGTTTCTTGAAATCTCCCGTGTGATGATCGTTAAATTGGAGCTGGGTATATTCCGTTTCTGAATCTGGATTTATGTTAAAATCGTTTAATTTTGGATTTTTTCGGGTTCTTGCACTTAAGTATCATACTTCTAAATTGGAGGATTTCACATATCTTCAGAGTTTGACTATGTTTGGTTTTAGAGGAGAAGCACTAAGCTCTCTCTGTGCATTGGATAATCTCACGGTGGAGACGAGAACAAAAAACGAGAACATAAACGCATATTTGTCTTGATTGATTATGTTGTTTCCAAGCTTGGTCGCGTTTATGGTCGTAGAAAGCATATACAACTGAAATCCAAAATCAATTTGGGGGTTTTAGGGTTCTTAAATCCCAAAATCGATTTGGAGAATAAGAAAGTACTGTAGCAAACAGTAACTTCCGTTAGTCGGATCGACACTGTTAATGTCGAGGTAGTAAAACCAACCCATTTTAAAAGTTCGAGTATATAAAGAACAATTTTAAATAGTTGGTGTATTTATCGGGTAGCCAAAAAAGTTTGGATATTTTTTCAGCAAATGTAATTAAGTTTGGATATTTTTCAGGAATTTTCCCATATATCTTATTATATAAAAGAGGATGCGCGCGATGAGAGCATATCACGTAAACAAAATTGTAACTCACTAGATTGTGACATATGTCTACTTTTGATCAGATGGTGACAAATGTTTAACATTTAAAATTAATTAAAGATATATAAAAATAAAATGGAAAACGAACAAAATAATTGTAAAGTAACTAACCAAATAGTAAAGAAGAAAAATTTCTTATTGTTCAAACTAACTATGATAAAAAAAATTTTTTAATAGTCCACACTAGTTAGGTTAAAAAAATCTAATAGTTTAAACTAATTATTAAATTCAATTGAGAAATAAAATAGAGAGAGACTAAACCATAAAAAAGTAGAGAGGAAAAAAATAAAGTAAAAAAATATTATCAACGAGAGATATTGTTCAAACTAATTATGATAAAAAGAAAATTTCTAATAGCCACACTAATTAGATTAAAAAAATATAATACTTTAAACTAATTATCAAAGTCAATTAAGAAATAAAATAGAGAGAGTGTAAATCCT